GTAGAGATGACTTCCGAGTCTAGATGAATATTACTTAGCATTAAGTTATTCTACTGGCTAATTCATGGTCATTTTTGAATTGAAATAAAATTCCCTAGTACCTAGCGACTTTTGAAATCTTTGATGTACAGTAACCACGCCGAACGTCCGCTCGTCCCTGCATGAGAAATGGAACGAGAAAAAAAAAGTAAAAAGGCAAATGACGCCGGCTTGTAAAACACAGAATGGTCGTCCCAAAAGAGTCAGATACTTATGCACGGAGAGAAAGAAGCAGACCCATGAACCAAATTACAAAATCGTCCTCAGACGATAATATCAAGCTCTGAACGGTCCAGACCGTCGGCCTTCAAGTCTGGATAGTAGGGAACCATCGCGTCTGCACCCTGGACATAGGCGTCGTTGTACAGACGCCAGTAAGGCGTGCGCACCTTTCGAGCAGGGTGGAACAGACCTGCCCAGACGTAGTTCATGACAGTGCCGGTTCCGACGGCCATGCGAATAGCGTCGATGGCTTCGATGATCCGATCAATGACGTGAGGGCTAGTTTCGAAGATATTGGGGAATACCAGGTTGAGGAGATGGACCATGGCATCTTCGCAGCCAAGACCAACAACGCCGAGCGCGATGTGCTTGACCACGCTGGCTGCAGTCTGTCGGTGAACCTGGTCACGGTCGATGAGAGCATCCTCGAGCAGAGGAGTGACGGCGTAGACGTAATCCTTGGCCATCTCACCAATGTATTCAAACAAGAAAGACATGGCCTTGAGAACACCGTTCTGCACATTGAGCTCAGGAACGCGGTATTCGTTCATCAAGGCTGGCAGTACAGTGAAGGGAGCGCAAGTTTCAGCAACAATACCGATGGCGACAGCCGTGCAAACACGGGACTGACGCTCCTGCACACGCAAGTTGTTCAAGAGAGTGGCTAGGACATCCTGGGGACCGATGGCCTTGGCGATGAAACCGAATGTGTTGTTGGCCGCACGACGAATACCCTTCTTGTGGGCCTTGAGCATATCTAGGAGCTCGAAGCAAATACGCATCCACTCACGGGCATTAACTGACTCGGGGCCACGGTCTGCGATACGGCCGACGAGGTCGATAGTGTTCTCCTGCACCTTCTCGTGACGATTACGCAAGATAGGCGTGAGTCGGGGCAGAAGATCTCGAATAGGCGGTTGCATCTGGTTAATACCGACGACAGTCACAATGGACCGCAGGGCACCCAAGATTGAACCCAACACCTCTGGATATTCTTCACCCAAGTATTCGTAAAGGACAATACCGAGCTTGCCCATGAGAGCGTCCTCGCCACACTGCTTCATAACCATCGCAATGCGAGAGATCAGATCGGCGGCCTGCTGACGAACGGTAGCAGACTTATTGTTTAGCCGCCAGAGGATGGTAGACACGATCTGAGGGAGGTATGGCTTGCATCGAGTGCTGAGGGCATTAACAACAGTACCGAAGCCATTCAAGATGATGATATCCTCAATGCTTTGCTCCTGGAAAGCAAACAGGACACCATCAATCAACCGTTCCTCCAATCGCTCCGAGATATCAGCTGCCCCAAGAGAAGCAACCAGCTTCTCTATGGTTTCGACGGTCATTTTGCGGTACGGCTCACTCTCGTCTTTCAGGTTATTGACGATCCGCTCGAGAATCTCGCCGACACCGACCTTCTGGCCAAGATCAACGGTTGTGTCGACGACCTGGCGGTAGTTTCTGCGATCCAACGCCATACGTCGGACCCAGAAGCTCTTGAAGAAGTCGGCCAAGACATGTTCCTTGAGATAGTTGGCAGTCACACCATCAGTGCTAGAGCACTGGGAAACTACTTTGAGAACCACCTTCTTCATTTCCTCGTCCGGAGAGGAGAACTCTCGTAGAAGAATCTCCATGATTTGACTGGTATAATAATTGGCGTACTCCTCATCCATAAGCGGAATGATGTAACCAACAGCCTTCAGGAAGGCGGCAAGACCCTTGCCACGCTGTTTGCGGGCACCAGTCCAGAGAGGGTTCAGGATCTCGTCAAAGCTTTCGATACCGTAGGGGTTGGCAGCTTCAGCCAGAGCAGCCACAGCCAACGCAGTGACAGTTCGAACCTTGGCCTGCTCATCGCTGAGATTGTCTGCGATACAGTCGACGAGGCCCTTGAGGTGGGGAAGAATAGCACAACCCATCAGGATAGGGATTTGTTGGACGATCTTCACACCAGTGTGACGAGCCTGCCAGGACTTCTTACTGCGGCATACAGCGCGGAGGAATGGGAGAAGGGCTGGGATGCCCAGAGCAGAGGCAACGACTGCGAACGCTCGTGCTGTGGTGTTTCGTACATACTCGTCGACGTGGTCGATATCGGGCCGCATGGTACTGATCATGGTGGCGAGACCAGCGGCCTTGGAAAGGTTGGAGATAATTTCCCGACCTTCGACACGAGCATAGTAGTCTTGATCAATGAGCAATGGCTCAATAACGACCAAAATCTTATGGACATAGGGACGGACCAGGTCGTCCAGCTTGTAGAGGACTCGGTCAATGACCTTGACCAGCAAGTGACGTTCCTGATCCTCCAATGACTTCTCCATGAGCAAGGGGAGAATCTGGTTGAAAAGAGCACCGGCTCCAAAGTTCCGCGCATTGTCCGTAAGCTGGCGCAACGCGGTCTTTCGCATGGGAGGTGTGCCGTTCTTGACTTTGAGCAGCAACCTCATGATCTTGCGCTCCTTCATTTCTTCGACGGTCATGGTGCTTTCATCCCCAGCCTCCATAAGCTTTCCGAAGTAGGCCATATCCTCCGGCTTGAAGAACTGCAAGTCGCCAACACCAGGGATATCGGTTGGAAGCTCCTTGCCCATGGATCGAATGTTTTCGGGTTCCTGCATCATGAATCCACCAACACCAGCTGCACCAGGCATAGGCGCCGGAGTCGCCATTATTTTGCGTGCAGGGTTTCGGATTGGGGCGTATCCTGGAGGAGGCTCCAAAATCTTATACCCTTCGGATGGTAGCATCATATCGAGTTCCTCATCAGTCCAATCTCCAGGTCGGACAGCCACGTCGTTCCCAAAACCAGCTGCCGCGGCTGCACCTCCTTGAGACGGGTGCATAGGAGTTGCAAGACCTTGCTGGCCAACGGGGGTGGCCGCAGGTGCTAGATCCCATCTCGATCGGCGCTTGGGTTCTTCGGCCGCGCCGGGGGCAGGAGTTTCATCCCACCGGGATCGCTTTGCCTTTGTTTCCGCAGGTTTGGCATCTTCAGATGTTCCATTTTCCTCTGCGCTCACGTCCCAGCGCTTCTTTCGCTTCTTACTGGCTGCTTCAGCGGTAGCAGCAGCGTCGGCCATCACCTCGCCACCTCCCGTAATCGTCAAGGTAGCTTGGTGTTCCGGAACCGCAACATCTTCTCCCTGCTCTCGCTTCTCGGCGATCAGCTTCTTAACACGCTCCTCTTCCTTCTCGAGTTCACGAAGGGCCATAACCTCTCGGTATGTCTGGCCATCTCCCTCCTCCACATTTGCTTGGGCGTTGGCAGCGAAAGGGTCGGCGCGCGTAGGTGTTAGAGGACCGCGGTTGAACCGACGCTTCTGGTAGTCAGATTCACGATCAGCAATACGGGCAGCCTTCTCACGGCCTAGCAAGATGTCCTCTTCCTCCACTCCGTTTCCATGCGCCATCTCATCGATCTGGCTTCTGGTTGCAGTGTACTGGCCGACCAAGTGACGGCCGCCATTCGCATCTTCCATGTCCACATCTTCATCATCGCCATTCACAGCAATAGAAGTATCGTAGCCAGCGAACTTGTCGGGTCCGTTTCGATCGTACAAAGTCGTGTCGAAGGATTCAGTCAGGGAGGCCTTGGTCGAACTGTCAGTGCGCTGACTAGATGAGTCAAAGGTCCTAGAACCTTTCTTGCTAGCGGCAGCAGCGTTGCGCTCGGCTTGAAGCCGCCGGACAGCTTCAATATCGGCTGAAGGAGTCATCAGTAACAGGTCAGTGAGAGGAGTCGAAGGGTGCTTACCGTCAGACATGTTGATGATAGGTCAGGTCCAGGTTGACTGTATGATCGCACAAAATCGGTAGCAATAGCTACATTCGGATCAGGGACCGTTGAAACGGCAGCATTGATGATTGGGTAGCTGTCGCGCTGAGGTCTTGCGATACGTGCAAAATGCACGACGCCAACGAAGTCGCGCTAGCGGGATGACTAATTCATCACGTGATATGGTATCCTGAGCCCGGCCACGGCCCTCAGGCCGATTCCCGTATATCGAGGTAATGGCCTAATCAGAGTGACAATGGAGGGTTCAAGGGATGAAGTACTATTTTGGGTGCTCTAGAATGCAGGGAATTGCTTGGCTAAACACTAGTCATGGTTGTGCAAAGGGGGACTGGGTAGTGGGGAAACGAGCTCAGTATCTCACAACGGAACCTTGGTGCCATAAGGGCGCTTACAGTCTATTTATGTCACACACAAACTGTATCAGAAGTACACCATTCCAACCTTATTACAATAATCATGTGTGTCTCTTTGAACTTAATTTTGAGACCTAATCGTAGAGCGTGACCTCTGACATCTGGCAAGTGCAGGATGCCATTTACGTTAACTGTTTGCAAGGCAAGAACAGTCTGATAAAAGAACAACTAAAAGGCCTTATAGAAATCGGATTTAGAACCAATGAGATTATTTCAAGAGTAATGATGCCTATTGCTGATGTGTCCAAGTAAATTGTGGATTCCTAGCTATTAATACTTTGGCGAACCTCTACATTTCGTACTAACCGCCGGCACTAGAACAGAGATGTAACGTGAACCGGGCTTTGCGAGGTGGGCAACATAATCTAGGGTTTACATTGGCTACTAGTGGTGAGAAGTGAGATTCTTCTGTTATTTCTGTGCTCCCCCAATGCGCAGAGTCTCCAAGCCAAGGATGCCAACAAAGAATCAATTCTCCTACCTATGAATATTCTCCTAGCTGCAGAAATGCCAGATCGATACATGAGTACAATATAGATCTATATGATACCTAGCAGCCTTGCTGGGCCTTGTCTTGTATGAATCTTATAGAGAGCCTATAAGCCATCAGTACTAGCAAGAAGTGTTATTTTGCGTTGGTTTTGAAGTGTGCCTTGCGGTGTGGTTCCAAGGAAACCTAAGTTTCTCCATCAAGGTAGGCTTCCTTTGTCTCTCGTCGAAACAAACACGGATGGTTTCACTTATTAAACCAGAAGACCACTGCTGTTTCTGATCCTCTTACCGGACCCGTTCCCAGCTTTTCTTCTTTGCTCAGATCACTTCGAGGCTCTGTCCTTCACCATACCCTCATCCTCGATTCTCGGAATAAGCATCATTCAGCCTACCAAAACAAAAACATCCATCATGCGAGTTATTTCAGTCTTAGCCTTCATCCTGGCGATGATGTTGGTTGATGCCACATCAGCCCTTCCAGGTCCACTGAGACTGGCAGCCACATTCTCACGCATATCCGATGAACTCGACGGCATCAGCCTGGGAAACTGCTCTTTGGCCAACCTCGCTCTTCCCTTAAGTGATACCAGAGTCAAACTTCCAAACCCATCCCCTGGCCTGAATCTCAAATACGTCGCTCTGGGCCGTGGAACACAAAACTACTCGTGTCCAGCTTCAACAGACTCCCACAAACCTCGTGACACCAGCAAACCTGTTGCAACCGGAGCAGCAGCAACACTGTTTGATGCTTCCTGCATTGCATCAACTTCTATTTCTCTTCTTCATGAGATGCCTGTTGTCATTGGGCGTGCTCCTCTCGGGTCTGTGGCTCTGTTGGCGGAGCTTCTGAGCCACACCACGAACAGCTCGGATCTCATCATCGGTGAACACTACTTCAATACTGCTGGAGATCCTTTATTTAACCTAAAATTGAGTGGCTCTGCCTCTTGGATTATTACCAAGAAGGATGCTTCGGTGACGGCACCGAAGAGAGTGAGCCACGTAGCTGGGGACAACGGAGATGACGATGTGGCCTGGCTGAAGCTTGGATTCAAGGATGGTCACGGTATCAAGGTAAGTAGAGAATAAGTTCTTGATTCATTTATTGGATATGCAGCTCTCTGACACTATTCTAGGAGGTCTATCGAGTGGTGACTTTTGAAGGTTCTGCTCCATCCACTTGTGTTGGGCAGAAAGAGACCGTTCTGGTTGATTATGCCGCAGAGTATTGGTTTTATGGATGATGGAACATGCTTAGTCCAGGGTTAGCTCTTTATTCATATAATATTTGGACTTATTTCTAGGCCGCGATGGCCTGATTTTATGACACGATGAATGATACCTGTTCTGAACACAGAACCAAGTAGTAGCTTAATTACAGAACGAATACTTGGACTTGAGTGCAATACCCCCTTCTGCCACCAAGGTGAAGAATGAAGCTTGTTGAATCTGATCAATGTCTTGAAGCCTAATGATTCCAAAGTAGGTCTAACAGACTCGAATTCCATCCAAAGTGTCATGGGCTTAATCAGGGTTCGTGATGGCTTTCCCTTGCATATCTTATTTATTGACACGTCTGACTCACAAATACTCTCTACTTGAATATATGGGCGATCTTTGGACCTTTCTTGAAAAATGAGCCTGTGTTTGCTTGAAAATACTAGGTTAGAAAACAAGGAGCTTGACCTATGCATCGGGCTACACCGACGTATTTTCTTCCACTAGCCTGGAAATCTGGGAAGTCTACCTATTGCCAGCTACAAAGGGTAGATGCTTACCATCAACAGAAATTTCATCCAACAGCTCTCGTTGAACGCTCCCACTCCACCAACTATTCTTCCTCAATATAATGCCTCAGGCAACAATAAGTGGCGCAAAAGGAAGCCCAATGTGGCGCAGTGCATGCAGCATCCTCCACCTTCCACATGGAAGCCAGCGTATTTTCAGCTATACCTGGTCCGACAGCTGTCAATTATGACTCAAGTGGCTACCGGAATACTGCAGACCTCTTTGTTGGAAACTTGGGCCCAAGCTTTAGCTTCCAGTCCGGGTCATGGCTAAGGTGGCGTTGATCGGATAATTTTGTAGATGTCAGTGGCGTTTACAAACGTTGACTTTATTTCTTATCCTGTAGTTATGATTGAAGTTTCGGGATGAATGACCCTGGTCCTCGAGCCTCCTTGATTTGCTGGTATTTACTGGGCAACTATTTGGAGGTCTTTACGTGTAAATAAATTCACCACTCGGAGTCCCCGATGCATATGTTTGTTACTTCCGGCAATCGATAGTACCTATTTTACCCATTCCTGTAGTAGTAAGGATGGACACTTGGCAATTGAAGAAAGAATGAGGGAACTGGCCTCTGAAAATTTTCCAAGACAGGCCATCTTAAGGATTTTACTTGAACAGTATCGGTAACATCCATATGATTTGTTTCGTACTTACAGATGACTCTAAATTGCTGCCTCAGGTGTCAGTCATCAGTCATAATACTCACGTGATCATCATCATGGCTGACGCGAACGCTGCCTCCCAAGCGCGCCCTCGTTCCTGGCCCAGGCATCACCTTCAATTCTATCCGATATCTGCCTACGAAGCTGTCGCGCTATGATTGCTAGTCACTAGTGATATTCACTCTTCCCTACCCAACTTTTAAAACGACCGCTCGTTCCCTCCGCGCATCACCCAACCTCACCACATACCGCGCTCCTTCACATCTCCGACTACCAACTACAAGATGGCGACCGATTACAGCAAGAAGACCAATGCCGAGCTGGTCGAGATCCTGAAGTCCCGATCGCTTCCCCACACCGGCAAGAAGGCCGACCTGGTTGCCCGCATCCAGCAGGACGACGAGTCCAAGTCCACGGAAGCTGCTCCCGCTGATGCTCCCGCCGCTACCGAGACTGCCAAACCCGACGCTGTCGCCGAGGATGTCATCGACTGGGATGACGATGTCCCCGCTGAGACTGCCAACCCTTCCACGGAGGCTTCCGCGGCTGCCATTGCTGCTGGCGGCAAGGGCCCGGTGGCCAACCCCGTTGCCGTCCCGAACCAGAAGCTCGACGTCGACCCTGCTACGACCAACGACTTGAAGGTGGAATCGGCCGGTGGTGCCGACACTGAAGCCGCCCCCGAGGCTGCGACTGCCGAAGTTGAGACGAAGCCCGCTGTGGATTACACCCGTGGTCTTCCCGCGTCTGAGTTGGAGGCGGAATTGGCGAAGCGCAAGAAGCGCGCTGAGAAGTTCGGCATTGTTGAAGACGATGAGACTGCCCGCAAGGAGGCTGAGAAGCAGCTAGAGCGGGCCAAGCGCTTTGGTACTAGCGCTGTAGCCGAGACCAGCGCCAGTGTTGGTGTCAAGGGTCTTGACGAGGCTCTTCCCGATGAGCGCTCTCGCAAGCGAGGCCGCAACGAGCAGGGTGGTCGTGGAGGCAAGCGGCGCGATGTCGGCCGTAACCGCAACCGTCGTGGAGATGGTAACCAGAACCGCAATGGTGGTGGGAACAGTGGGAACGCCAGGGAGAGTGCGCAAAGCGGACAGACCGGACAGAGCACGCAGCAGAAGAGTTGGGCTGAAAAGGACCGTTTGGCCATGGAAGCTCGCAAGAAGCGTTTCACGGCCGCCAGCTAAATTGCTGCCATTCCTTTGCAGTTTCTTTTGTGTTTTACATATTCTGGTCTTTCGCAGGGCGTTTGTGACGATACGATATTAAGGAAGTTTGAGGGGACCACCAATCAAATCGAAACATTTTGCTTCATTTGTATCATAACGATGGTATACTAATGAGTACTTGAGCAAATTTTGTCAATATTAGTAGTGTATACTTTGATCTTGGCTTGGACCAGTTCATGTAGGATAAGATCGTAATGATATCTGTATCAATCAATTGTCAAGATAACAAAGATATGCGCCCCAGTATCCTTTTCATCCCATTACCATTTCTGAAACGTCCGAAGCACTTCCTTAATAAGTGAAAGCACCGAAGAAGCACCTCACTCCTCGAGGACATCCCCGCGCGTGCAGTCAGCTGAATTGTGCATTAGCCTCTCGTTCCTGCAGCACCCACGCTGACCAGTCCGGCTTCACAACGGGACTCCCAACTGGCCTGGCCCCTCCAGATCGGCACGTCGACACGGGATCGACGAACTCACCCTTGGTGTAAAAAGCACACCAGGACCTCCGTCCGAGTATTGGATCCGATCATAGCTTGTCGCACCGGGGAAGACGATCCGCTCATGAGTGCAACCCCAGACTTGGAACCTTATTCGCCAATGGGGCGAGCCCATCACGCGGTTTTACCGCCAGGACCCACTTGGATCGAGGTGTTTCTGGCGAATCCCAGCCCAGTGCTGCTGTTTTTAGAGTGTGGCTTCATGGATTTTGGTCCAGTCAAGGCAGCAAACACCTCCATGAGCGCAGTGAACGCTTTTATTGCTGGGATTGTTTGGTGGAGTAGGGCCATGAACGGACCCAACCCCGCTGCAGCGGTCCTAAACGGGGGTCAACCACGGATTTGGAGATGAGGTTATACGCTGAAGTCCTATGTTTGAGGCCTTTAGCGATGGTCACTGACGGGTTGGTTGGTACTTGGCTGACGAAATATACGATTTTACTACAGTGGGGTTTCATAAGTTTGAAACTATGAGCAATGTTCAGAACCGGCTTATCACTCACAGGTTGAATGATAGACTGAATAATGATACCCAAGCTATCGAGAAAGACGATTGAAATGACCTTTCGAAAGACCTTTCAAAAACCAAGAAGTAGAAGCATATATATCAGGTGGACTCTCTGGACTCTAGACTCAGACTTCTAAACTACCACTGTACTCGTCCTGGAAAGAGAATGGACCCCACTGGGGCTTTTTTGGGGCGATCGGCCCTTTGTCCTGAGTCAGATTGTCGGAGATTTTGAGGATGACCATAGTCAAAAGTTGGTTCAACGCTCAAGGCTCGGGACGGCCCTTTGACTGTACCAGAGTTCAAACAACGGCTTTAATGGGTCTATCCTGTCTGTTGTAAATAAGGACAAGTGGACTGCAATCTACGTAACCCAGGGAGAAAATGATACCCTGGTGGATAATGAGTAATAGTTAGACCAGGGCTACTGGCATCACAGAGCTGGTCTGGTCTCATGATACATGACGACATCTACGTTGGCATTGTATGGCCCTCCAAAGGCGCACCTTGGTAAATTCTCCGAGCCCTGAGGAGGAACGAGCCGTGCCTCGCACGTTCATCATCATTTGTTCCATGGCCAATTGTACATAGAAAAATAAACGAGACCTGGAAAGCCCAGGAGCCCCAAAAAAGCAAAACCACAGACCTTGCTTTTGGGGAGGATCGACGGTGCAGTCAGATCGGGTTCGGCGTCCCCGATCGATGAGTTGTCAACGAGGCGAGGCAGACGCAGACGCGGTGTACTCGTTCTTGACAGGTTAATCACAACGGAAGAAGAGCCAGCCTTTGACATTATTCAGCTTGAGTGTCCAGGAGGAGTTGTAGGCTTTATTTTCCAGGAGTCAATACTGGGTAGTTGACGGTTTGATGGGCGGATGGATGGGCCGCCCACTGTACGCCACTCGCGAAACTGCATCCTGTCAAACTGTATACGTGACTCGGGTGATTTTTAGTCTGACTGGGCAAACACCGCTGATAGCCATTCCGATCCCATTAACAGGATTCTGACCAACGATAGGAGTTGCTATCCGGGGAAAAACACAAGTCTCTCGAATAGGCTGGACCCAGTTTCCCCTCCATGCGGGCCTCCGTGCGCGAATTCGGGTCCTCACTGGACTCACTGGATTTTCTCAGTGCTCCGTCCATAGAACGACCGTCTCTGTCGTGATAGGACCTAAAAAAGATTAACTTTGCTAGGAGAACTCGTTTCGGGTTTCGGGCTGTTGGTTTTCACTGTACGATTCAGCGGCACACGGCTACTTTCCTGTTCACAGGGCCCTGGCGCCCACACAGTCTCGACTCGTCACAGCCGTAGTCACAATATCGGTGCCCAATTATCATCCAGATTGAGGGTCTTCTCCTGTCTAAGACGGAAGTGCCGTCAATCGCACAACCCTTTAATCCCACACGGTGCATTTTATATCGCCAGGGCAGACTAGAGGGCGGGTTTTGTGGGTTTGACAACCCCCACTTTGAACACTTTGAGGAGGGGAATCCGAGTCAGCAACATACATAACGTGATCGAGAGATTTCTACAGGGAATTCCCGACTCTCTTCATTCGAATCTTTGAACTACACATTTCAATACCTTCATTTTTTCGATTCTCTATTACCTTCGCTCTTTGCCTGATTTAGTCTCGCAGAGGATTGCTTACCTCTGACGTGGCCGAGACTAGTGGAAAATCCTGAGATTTCAGTGCCACACTGCTCCAGACTGTGGCGAAGCAGCTGCAGCTTCTGCCATCTGGCGTGGGCGCCGATCAGCTTGCTAAAGTCGGTGAATTTCCATCTTTTATCTACTCCGACGTCTGCTGTATTTGTGGTTCTGTGTCTCATGCTTAATGACCCCTTGCAGATAATGTTGTTTGATTGATCTTTTGTTTGATTTCTATACTTCTATGTTGCACGTGCTGGGAGATACCCTGGACTTTCCCACTACTTCAACCATTCTACTACTACACCTTCGTTCTTCGTTCTCCACTTCGCACCTATTAATATTCCCGAAGCTCGAAAAGTGTCCCGGAGACCCTCGAGAGTAATGTGTTGAATACTGTAAGTCCAACCCTATCCTGGTTGATCTGCTACTCGATTTGTTGAAACTCATGAAACAGGTATCATCTTAGCGCCGTTGTTTTCTACATACTTCGCGTACGCCCGCGATGAGTACAATTCTGCAGCACATGAGCCCATTACTCAAATTACTGTCTCAATATTGGAGTGGGAGACTCCTGACAGTGTCGCACCATGTCGTCGTACAATATGGGCGGCCGTCGTATGCCGCCGAATGATCCTTTCCCTCCTGCACATACATCACATCCCGGGCCAACCAACTCAACCCCCGCCTATGGCCCGCGGCTTCCTCGGCCTCAACTGGCAAGGCCATCCAACTATACAACAAGAACGGATCGGGCAGCGTCTCTATCGGCTGCGGAAGACTCCCGGTCAATCTCAGCCTTGCCACCAGTGCCCTATCAGATGTCGAATCATGCGAATCGGCTATCACTGTTACCACGTCCAAGTACTGGTGGCACAGGATCATCCCCATCTCCTGCATCGACTGTATCGCCTCACACGCCGGCCTCATCAATTCCTTCATCTCTATCCGCCTCTGATCTAACGACCCCTTCGCCATTTACACCAAGCTATCAAGCTCCACCCGCCAACCCACCCAAACGAGCACGCAATGTTCTCCGCAGACGGGCACCAACAATAGGAAGACATGTGGAACAAAATCAATCTCAGAAGCTTAGTCTGGTTATTCCAGCAACCGTCCAGCCTGTCGACTCGAGGGAGCCTAGACTACCCAATCTTTCAGACACCTATTCTGCGGAGCCTTCATCATCATCTCAAAGTGTGTCAGATAGGATGGAGAACAGTGCAGTGGACACTCCAAAGATCCAGGAGCCAGTAGAACTGGCCAGTCTCCGGACTACTGTTGATACCCAGAACCTACCTCCGCCTCCTGTCCCTTACTATCCCTCTGCGAGTACGCCATCAACTCGCTACTCCGAGTCTCCGGGTATGTGGAGCCGGGGCTCAACCCCAACCTCGTTATCATCTTACTCCCCAGGAATTATGCATTCGTCCAAGATTACACGCATGAGACAGCGAAGTCCGTCTCAGACGCGACTGCCAGTGTTCTCGCCACCATCTGTCCAGGCAAGTCCTCAAAGTGCCCAGGTTGAGCAAGCGGACTCCAAATCTCAAAGGTCAGGACTTTCAAAGAGATCACTTGCACTTGGATCTGCTACGATTACAAGTGGCAAAGGTCAATCCAATGCCAAATCCACTCCAGGCAAACTTCAAGGCCCTCCGCACAGCCCGCCACCGAGGAAGTCATCCGTCAACTTTAGTCCACCTAGAGATGCCCCTTCCAAGAACCCTGACATAGACATCGACCAGGCCAGGAAGGAAGTCGAAGAGGCAGAGCGGGAGCTCTTCAATTCGCAGAGACCAAGAGCTCCATCCATCTCCGAGACGAGCGTGCCCAAGGTCCCGAAAACACCACCGCGGCCAAGCCGAGAAGGCACACATCGGTTGGATTTGGAAACGTCCCCTGTGATTCAAAGCAACCTGCCTTATCTTAGGTCGACTGGTCACAAGCGACGCGAGTCGATGGAGAGGAACCGGATTGCCCAACCGCCGTCTGCTGTAGCCTCAACAGACTCATTGCCATCGAAAAATCTGTCTCGAATTCCCTCCCGAGAGGCTGGATCTCCAGTGCTGGCTCGAAAGTCACCCAAAACCTTGACCAAAGAGCCACCAAAGGAGAAGGTTGACGCGAAGAAGCCCGCCGCGCAGAAGAAGTTTGGTCTTTTCTCAAAAAAGTCAAAGCCAGATCTTGATACTGCCTTTGATGATCAAGCTCGACCGACGAGAAAAGGACCAGCTGCAGGAACCGGCCATGAAGGATATGGAAAGTATTCGCAGCGTGGTAGGAAATCAAGTGCCAGCAGTGCCAGTGGCGTTAGGACACGATCAACTAGTACCACACGAAGCACACCCCATTCGGTCGCAAGCAGCAAAGGCAGTATGTCATCTAGTCGCCCGGATCTCGACCTAGACGATTTTCTCGCAGCTCGACTCGAGCCTGTTTTCATCAGCGGTGGAGGCATGGACGGTGCGACTCTTTCGCGAACTGTGAGTGAACAGAGCATCAGTAGCATGAGTGTGACGTCTTCCACTCTGCCTCGCCCAACACCACTCACCTCTTCTACCGTCCAATCGACCGAGTCATTGGCAACTTCTACCGGTACTTTTGGTGATGCAGGCCCTCGCAGCGAGTCGACTACTAGCCTGGAGCCAATGAGGAGCAGAAGCCCAGAGAAGAACCAGACACCTGCCAGTCGTCAACAACCAAAGTCTCGCATGCCAGTCCCCAAGGGTAAGAGAACTGGATTATATGCCAATACAGACGCTACCAGGACCAGCACGTCGCTATCTAGCAATACTTCGAGTACGGTTGTCCCGCAGAGATCGAAAGCCACACCGGCTGCGACTACCAAACAGAAGGAACCCGCAAAGCTTGAACCGCCACAACCGAAGAAAGGGAAAACGTCTCGATGGAACTTATTTCAAAGAAGCCGTTCCAATGAGCCGAGCACCACTGGAGAATCTGCCCTGGCCCCTCCCTCTCATACGGCTCAACTTCATGCTGCAATTTCTCCGGTACTTAACAGTCGTCCTATTGCCCACTACGCCCTGGTGGATGCGGATTCAGACGAGCTCGACGACATCCTCAACCATGTAGAGGACTCGCCACCGACTGAAGAAGAGCCGTATATTGTGCCGGTTGAGGTGCCCGCGAGCTTGAACATCAAGAAGCGACATCCCTCTATTTTACTGCCATCGCCCCCTAGGATGCACGGCGAGTTTGACAGAGATAATCGACCATCGCCAAGAACTGCTATGTTCAATCAGAACATGATGGACCCGGAACCTCAGAGCAGCCCACAAGATCGTCGGCCCAGACGGCTGGCTTCTATAGGTCGAATTCCGCAAGTGGTGTCGAGACGCGATAGGCAGCATAAACCGGCTATGCATTCCTTCTCTCGACCATTCAGCACCTCTGAATCGCCGTCGGTGATGGCGCCGACACCGGAGGGCACAAGCGAATACCCTGGACTTGGTGGGATTTCTTTGGCCGACATTCCAAGCAGCAAGCCTGGAGATTGGGGCTATGGTTTCAACCCTGCCTTCAGTGCCCCAGAGGCAGCGAGCGCTTTGGAATTCCTTGCTGGTCCTTACTCAGCCCACGAACTCATTCACTTCTCTCCCCACAAGGGCTCTCCTTCGTCTGGCAGCTCCGGCGCTTTGGCAGCTGTCACAGCTGTAGTACCCAAGCCTGGCACTGCACCGACCGAGGATGAAGTATGGAACGAGTATGATGATCTCATCGATGTCCTCTCACCAGAGGAGCCAAAGTCTGAGGAAACTGTCAAGACCGAAGAAGACGACAGATTTGAGATGGCAACAATGGCCAGCAAGGCGTTGCAGGACGAGCTGAACAATGACAATTCCCTTCAGCCGCCACCATTCTCGCCGGCTGGGGGTTCTAATCGTGATAGCGGTGATTCAGTCCATCTGCGGCGATCAAGAATTGTTTCGGCTCTGCATTCCTCCATTGCACCATCCACACAGGCATCTTATAGCAACCTGATTGCGAGCTATGGCGACCCCGAGGTCATGTACAGCCCTGCAAACCCGACACAGCCTTCTTTGGATCCCGTTCACGAGCAACAGTCAACCTTCCTCCAGTCTCTTGCTGCTACGCCTGCGCCAAAACCCAAACCTTATGAGTTCAAGGACTTCCCTGGATGTTCAGAGCGTGAGTGGGATGCCGTCACTCGCACCAATATGCGATCTGCATCTCTCATGACAAGTCGGTGGCTATCATTTGGGCGAGTTCTTTTCAGTCCAGCGCACAATCACGTCAAATCTGGTACTCATGGGCGGATTCTCGTGATTGATGGACTGGGCAATGACGACTGGTCGTTCTACTGCTCTTTAACATACCCAGATGCCGAGGTGTACAGCTTGAGTGGCCGACCAGTCTCGACAGCAATTCCCCATCCTGCAGCCTGGCAGCCTCCCACAAACCACCACACCGTGTACCACGCTGGACTTCAGAATCCTCTACCATTCCCCAAAGATTATTTCGCCGTTGCTGTTCTGCGTTTCCCTGCCGCAAGCTCCGAAGCTATCCAGAACAACATCCTCCAGGAGTGCCGCCGTGTTCTCCGCTCCGGCGGATACCTCGAAATGAGTCTTCTGGACCGGGATATGGTCAACATGGGCGTTCGCACTCGAAAAGCAGTCCGCCGACTAAAAGAAATGACATGTCTCGCCAACTCGAGTATCAGTCTCGCACCAACAAGCGACAGCATCCAGCGTCTGATCGGCACTCAGGGCTTCGATAATCTCCGTCGGTGCATGGTTCGCATCCCCGTCGCAGGGATGGTCGTCCGATCCTCCGGTTCCACGACATCCTCATCGAACAAATCTCTTTCCGCATCGGCCACGACTCAATCAACTGGATTCTCGCTCCCTGCGGTCTCCGTCTCCACCGCAGCGACCGGTAGCCAGAGTACACAGACAGCATCTAAATCGTCAGTATCAGACGACAACATTTCCCTAGGAGACCTCCTCTCCGATCCCTCCCCCTCAGCCGCCAATGACGAGTCCATCGCCAAGATCGTGGCTCGCGTTGGTCGCTGGTGGTATACCAAATGTTACGAAGAGCCCGCTCTCCACGACACCGGTGATATCGACCTCAGCATGTGGAATGATCGCAAAGTTCTGCGCGAGTGCCAGAAGCGAGGAACTGGATTCCGCATGCTTATCGCCTATGCGCAGAAACCGAGTGAGAAGCGACGCACGGCGAGTGTCTAAATGAAACACGAAAAACGAAAAAACGAAATTGAAACGATACCCCTGACTGATGTGAATGATTTCCTTGATGAGTTTCACGTTTAACGATTTGGATATCTAATCTGCATGATTTCCTTCCTTTTTTGCCTTCTACTTTTAATTCTGATAAATACCCTCACTCTTGTTTGGTCTCTTGTACCACTCGTTCTTCTGATTGTTTTTGTTTATGTCCTGGAGAGGCAAGATTTATCTTTTCAAGACTTGCATTGACCTCGCGGTCTCGAGTGTTCGACTGTTTAGCGTGGCATTTGTCTGTTCTGTTGTTCTATATGTGGGGATGACTGGTTGATGGCTTGCATCTCATGGGCTGGACTTCTGTGATGTCATTCGCTTCTTTCTTTTCTATACTATAAGCAGGACTTAATGGATGATCAGGTAACTTTGCCAGACTTTGATCCACGAATAGTATTTTGACCTACGTCAAGTTCTTGTAAATCATCGGGTCTAACGTCCGACTCGCCATAGTTCCACCTTGTACTACTAACTACACAGTGAACACGACTTTCGCAGCATACGGACTAAAATTCACTAGCCACAGCCCGACCCTAATCCCTGAAAATTGCAATCCAAGCGAGCGAGTCAAATGCACTGACAAGGCTGAGCATTGGCACACGTCAAGGTGTTCTTAGTCCACAAGGCTGTGCTTCCCAGTGTTGTCTCCCCCACTTAAACTCACCCAAATCGACTGCGCCACACACGAACCCGAGGAGTACCAAGGATACCAAGAACCACCAGGGGGACTCAGCTCGTACCCACGGAATCTATTTAAATCTGTACCTTACCCCTCGTCTGACACTTCTCGTTTACTCATTTTTATACTCTTCATCTCATCATGTCTTATCAGTACCCGCCTAATCGTGAGTGAAAAACACCACCCTGATGAGGCTGATCCGTGCTCATCCGTCAAAATGCGGGGGAACTTTTTGCTAATAAAGTGACGCGTCATTTCAATAGAACAAGCACCCTACGGCTATCCTCAGGGTGCCCCTCCCCAGGGTCCTCCCCAGGGCTATCAACAGCCTCCATACCCTCAGCAACAATACGGTGCTCCTCAGGGTGCTCCCCATGGTGCCCCTCCCCCGCAGGGCTATGGCCAGCCTCCTCCTCAACAGCAGGGATACTACGGCGCTCCTTCACCTCAACCTCCTGCTCCATACGGTGCCCCTCCTGCTCATCATGGCGGGTATCCTCCCCAGCACCAGCAGCAGCAGCCATATGGGCAAGCTCCGCCGGGCCAGCAATATCCCCCTCCACACGGCCAGCCGCCACAAGGCTATGCCCCTCCTCCCCAGGGACCACCTCACGGCGCCCCAGCCGGCGCTCCCATGCACGGCGCGCCCGCTCAGTACGGTGCGCCCATGGGAGCTCCAGCTCCTCCATCGCTGGGCTACGTCCCCGGTCAAGTAGCACCGGGCGACTTCCGAGCAGAAGCGGATGCCCTCCGCAAAGCGATGAAGGGCTTCGGCACGGACGAAAAGGTCCTAATCAAAGTCCTTTCGCGCCTGGATCCTCTCCAGATGGCCGGCGTCCGCGCCACATACACCAAGTACATCGGCCGTGACTTGTACAAGGACGTCGAGTCCGAGACGGGCGGGTACCTGGAACAAGGTCTTCTCGCCGTGATCGAGGGCCCCCTCATGTACGACGTGGCATGTGCGCGGGAAGCCGTCAAGGGCGCCGGAACAAAGGAATGGCTCCTGAACGACATCCTCCTCGGCCGATCCAACGCCGATCTCCACGCTATCCAGGCAGCCTACCAGCGCACCTACCACCGCCAACTTTCCCAAGACGTCCAAGACGACCTCTCCTTCAAAACAGCCGAGCTCTTCAAGAACGTCCTCCGCGCCGCCCGAAACGAAGACTCCGTCCCGCTAAACCCGCACGCCATCGAAGCCGAAGTGCGCACCCTGCACGACTCGACCGCCGCCCGGGTGGTCAACAACATCTCCGAAGTAACGGGTATTTTCGCACGCTCGTCAAACGCTGAGCTACGCGAGATAGACCGTGCGTTCCAAGCGCGTTACCACACTCCGCTGGATAAACATGTTGAGAAGGAATTCTCTGGACATATGGAAGATGCGTTGTTGCATATGTTGCGGACGGCGACGGATCCGGCGATGCGGGATGCGATTTTGTTGGAGGAGTGTATGGCTGGCATGGGGACGAAGGATGAGAAGTTGGTTGTTAGGGTTGTGAGGGTTCATTGGGATCGGCAGCATAAGGAGATGGTTAAGAGGGCGTATAGGCATCGCTTTGGGAAGGATTTGATTACTCGCGTGCGGGAGGAGACGTCGGGGGATTATGAGAAGTTGATGGTTGCGTTGTTGGAGTAAGTAATGAAGTGAATGGGTTTTACCTTGTAAGGTGGGGGATTTTGGACTGGAGGGTGGCAGGTTTTGTTTTATGTGTTTTGCGATTTGGTTGTATTTTACTCCTTTCTAAGTCTTGATACCAGTACCTAGTGAGGTTATGGATGAGATTATGTTTGCATGACACAGACCAACTTTACAATCATGTCGATTCGTTGGTGGTGGAGGTGAGAACCTACTGTAATCATGGTCCTTGGGAACTGGCTAAACCTGGTTCTAGATATGAGTTTCCATGCATTCATATTCTGTCATAATCATCGTGATATTCATGCAGGTGCAAAGCCATAATCAAAATGCAAACATCCTCCTCTCCTGACAACACCCCCAAAAAGAAAACGAACACACTCATTTAATCTCCCCCACAATCGTGACATGAGTTCGTGTGAACAAGCCCGTTCTCCCAGCATACCTCCCCCAAAACCACTCATCATTGACATCATCAACCTCCCTAATCTCTGCACCACGCGGAAACACCAATTCATCCTCGTTCTCCTCACCGTGGAAATACGACCACTTAGCCTGCACGACGAGGCCGACACCGCCATCAGGAGGAAAACGGCGGAACGACGCGCCGTTTCGGGAAGAAGGCGTACCGCCACTGTTATGCGCAAGGTCTGAAGATGAGGCACCGGGGTTACTGGTACTACCGTTGGTCGCAGTGGCCGAGCCACGGAGACGAGAAGCTTTCTTCCTGCGCTCGGAACCTTCTTTCCAGCTCCAGTAGCCGTTTCCTCGTTCTGGGGATGCCACGGGGCTACTAATGGCCGGAGAGGAAGCGGGTGATTGTTCGATATGCTCGTCTTGAAGGGCATTGCCACCGACTAGATCGCGTACGATGACTCGTCTTTGTCCGTCGTCTCGGTCTTCAAAGCCAACGATGATCATCCGGTGAGAGGCGAGACAGCGGCGCCAGCCGTTGTGGCCGTCTTCCTTGCTGATCTTGGAAGTTGCTACTAACTTGAGGTAGCAATTTGTGCAGACATCGTAGTCGCCGTCGTTACATTGTAGACAATGGAAACGTGTGACAGACGCTGGGATTGGATAGGTACAGATGTCGCAATTGGTCGAGAAGGAGAGTGTTTTGAAACTTTCCGTGTTGGAGCGAGAGAGGGAGGTATTTGCATCGGCTGGTGTACTTGTCGCTGATAATTTCGGGCCACCGGTGATACGTCGAATAGGCAACAGGGGGTGGGTACAGCATCTTCCTTGATTGACGCAGCGGTTACAGAAGCCCCAATCGCCTTCGTTGCACTTGCTGCATTTCCAGAAGCAGTCATTAGCTGGAGACTGACAAATGTCGCAGAAGAGCCCCGATATCAGACGGCGCGCAGGATTGTCATTTGTAATCTTCCTTTCACCACTGATGATCACCTGCGCGCTTTCTGAGGGCTGATCGTACTTGAAGGAGCGCAGTATATGCCCGGTTTGGCGCATCTTTGCTGGACGATGATTCGGAGAGGCGAGGATTTGTTTGTATATTGCTTGAGCAGAGGGATCGAAACCACTCAATCGAGCCGAGTCTCCACTAGGGTAGTCTCCATCTGTCCGGTAACAGCGCAGACAAAGGTGATAGTCCGGGTCTTTACATTTGGTACACTTTTTGTGCAAGTCATATTGAATGTTCGCTGCTCCACAGCGATCACAAGAGTGGGAGGGCTCCACATATTGGGCGGTAGAAGGGGCAAGCACACTCCATCGCGAAGAACTAGGTCGCCTATGAGACCTCGGTGGAACAACAGGCGAAGATAAAACTGGTGCTGAATTCTCTGTCGGTGTTGAATTGGAGGAAGAATTGACCTGCGGTGAAGAAGCCGAAGTTGGTGAACTCGTTACGGGTTGGCTGGTGACGACTCTGGAAGAGGCTCGTTCCCTTCCTCCGCTCAACCATGCATCTGATATACCCTGATCCGACTCGGTTGCTCGTCGCGACCGATTGGAAGAGGACTCTGCTCTTGTCCGCGCGTTCTGAGAGCTGCGCGGGCGTTCAGCGGTCATATCGCTCGAGGATCGGACGGCTGGCCGCAGCGTATCTTCTGAGGTTGACGCTTGGTTTACTCCAACAGGAGAAGTGCGCCGGCGGTTGTCACCTTGCTCCGAGTTTCGTCTTTGATGGTTCGACGTCGGGCGTGACGTAGGTGGATCAAATAAGTGCGGTCTGGTTGCAGGGGGCCGCCTATCGGTGTTGTCACGAGAGGACGTGGTTGGAGTTGTCTCGGTCGGTCTTTGAACAGATTGCGATCGTGAATGCGTCCGACTGGTATTGTCGGGGGATTGTCTCCGTCTTTGCGCTTGAGAAGAGCGTGGCTGTTGCCCATGACTGCGACGGTAGGCATCTGCAATTCGCTCACTGAGTTCTTCCTCCTGTGCAGCGCTAAGATTGTCGAAATCGACATCATCCAGCAACCCTTCTTCAAGGATTTGTCGGAGGATCTCCTCTTGCATAGTCTCTGCCTCGGATGACAGACTGAGCAGTGAGCGCAAGCTTGACTGGTGCTCAACCCGCCGCGCACGATCGGCATCGCCGTGCGTCCGCGCGGAGCTCGGTTGTCGCTCCGAATCTTCACCTCGTCGTCGGCGAGATCGGCCATCCTCTCCAGATCGCTCGGGATTGCTACTCCTATCGCGGCGCCTGGCCTCTCGCCGCGCCTCTGCGCGACTCTCCCGAAGGCTCAGCTCCTGAACTTCTCGTAACACCCTCCTATCATCCTCATCCTCTTCGCTTTCATTATCCTCCTCCACAGGAAGCGGGAATAGGTCGTCTCCCGGTTTGTATCGCTCGGCGATCTCTTCTTTCTCGGCAGCCGATCTGGCACGGTCGGGGTGCGCTGCCAGCACCATGTCCAGTAAGGTCGTGACGGTGGCATTTGTTCGAGTACGGAGCACTTCAGCACGACAAGATGGGCAGGTAAATCGAGGAGAAGTGTCCGACGACGAGCGACGGCGCGAGCCTTGCGCTGTAAACCATTCCTTCAAGCAGGAACCGCAAAACGTGTGTAGGCAGTCAAGGAGTGTGAGGGGCTGGTAGAGCAGCTCGGTACAGATCTATGCGACAGAAGCGGTGTTAGTGAGGCTCCAATGTAAGGGGTTGCAGGCACAGGAATGGAAGGGTTCTGGAAGAGGATCATCCCCAGATTGGCGCACATACCGAGCATCCCAGCTCCTTCTCGAGGTCAGCCAGCCCCGGCGGCGGCGGCTGCGCTTGAGACATGAGTATAGAATGAGAGTGTGTTATATGAAGGGAAAGCCCAACTTGAATCCCCAACACTGGGATCCAAGGAACGAACGTGGCGGTGGGAAAGCGGAGAAAGCAAAGCGAACCAGGGAAACTAAAAAGGCGGAGGTGGGTGAAAGTGGCCAACAGACTCAAAGTGGTTAAAGTGGGAGAATTTGACTCCACCCGAGCTTATCGTAGAGTCCCACTTTCATCATTCGACAGGACGCAGTATGTATACATTCTACATCTCTTTTAACTAGTAAACTTGAACCATTCTTCCATATGATCCTCATCTTGCACCCACCGGCTGGGATTTTTCAGCTGCAGTGCATTTTCAGGCACTTCTTGACTTGGGCCTCGGCATCCGGCAACGATTGGGTTGCGGTTTCAAAATAACCAGCCCTTGAAACAACACACGGGATAGACACTCCACAATGAATTACAGAATGGCGAAAGACAAACTAAGAGCCCTTTTGAAAAGCTTTAGGAGTCTGAGTGACCAAGTTCTGACATTCTTCATTTGCAAACTTGCCATAAGGACAGGCCGACGACTTTATTTCCAAGGTCCTCTTAACAGTCTCGAGTTGACATCTAGACAATCCAAAATTCACTTAGAAAGACCTTTCAAAAGAGCGAAGTTGAAGCGCATCTGGCTGGTCCGATTTTCTTGTCTCTAGATTCAGACATCGAAAATACCAGGGTAAGTATAGAAGTCCCAGATAATATTGTTTTACCAAAATTCTCTCGAGACACACCCATCACAAGAGACATCAGTTTCATCTTCAGCTATTTACTTCCATGACCGACTGCAGCTCTTCCTCACTCCAACCAGCCTTTTGCAGAATCTTACAAAGAACCTGTGTCTTCCCAAACACATATTGATCCATTTTTTCAAACTCCATACCCTCCATATTGCTCTTCACGCGCGCATACTCTTCACGCAGCTCTTGGTCTTCCAACAACACCCTCCGCACATCAAGATGATTTCTCAATGCTGTGCACCCCTCGATCACTACATAAGTATTGCGCCGTAGTTCTCCTTGTACTCCCATACCGTATGCCACATCGAGAATTCCATATCCTGGCTGTCGGAACACGAAGCGACCCGGAATACCCATCTCACCGCAATCAGTGTACCCTGCATCTGAGAGGGCCTTGCTTGCGGCTTCGAGGGCGGAGGCTGGGGTGATGATGTCGATGTCAAGGACGGGCTTGGCCTTCATGGTGGGAATCGAGGTGCTTCCTACATGCTCGATTGATATGATAGGCACATCTTTGAGGATTGACGAGAGTTGCGCGTGGACTTCGCGGAACTTGAGTGGCCACTCGGGGTTGTAAGACTCAAGGGTGACCTTCATCTTTGCGAGAACACTTGCGTACTGTTAGTACGGTACGAGTGTTGGTTAATGCTTAATATCCTTGTGACCGCACCTCAAGGTAACTAGTCACACTTGCGATGTTGATGTTGATCAGAAGTAGGCTCGCGAATCGGCACTACTGTTAGCGTGGTCCAGTTCAGTGAGCTATGGCGATCGAAACGGAGAATGTTGACGGTCACTTTGATAGAATCAGATTCAGCTCACCTGTGCTTGAAGTGAGCCCGTAGATTGGGATAAATCCTATTTCAGCACGTCGAGACAGTGTCTGAACTGCCCAGGTTCAGTTCAATCTGAGAGAGGAAACAGACGCTGGAATGTGAAAAGCGAGACGCCTAACTCGAACCGGTGCCCGGTCATTCTAAAATGGCGCGCCTGATTAATAAGCCCTCTGACCGGGACATCGTGAGGTCTGTTGTCTAAACGAGATGCGCCCTTTTGAATCATCATAGTCTTGGATGTCGTCGATTTCACATATAGCAAAACTTGAAGGAATTGCAGTTATCAGGAGAGAGTCAATTCCTTATTCTCATGGGAAAGGAGATTTCTTAATGGACATAAACTGTCTCAAAGATTCCACTTACCGATCATAACCCCAGATGATACTCATGACCTCTATCATGACCTGGCTGTCTAACCCAAAGCTCCATTGTGACCTTGATTATTATCAAAGTGGCTAAAGAGCATGTCAACTGAGATCAGGGTCTTGGTGGCACAATCTGTATGAGATCTCCGCATGTGCTCCCACCCTTTCATCATTGATAGGACATTGGACAAACCCAGATATCCCCAGAGCAAAAATGGCATCATAAACACATGCTCTCAAGTGTTAGATTACCCAAATGAGCAACCGGAGTCCTGAGAAAGCTCACTCGAACTTGGAAACTTGGGCGCGGCTGACTGCCAGGAAGCGAAGCAGTTGATGAAACCGTTGAGCTTAAGGTATTGATCAGTCTGGAAACGTGAGCCTATCTAGTCAAGTTTTTTATGCCTTCAATCCATCATCTGGCAGATATCAGTACAATGCTTTACTATCATGTTTCTTGGGCTCTGTTGACATACGTAAGAATATCAAGGCCGCTCAAGTTTGAAACAGCTCGCCTTATTCATGGAAATCACTGCAGTTACTGCCTTCATGACGCTTTGCTCTATGGTTCTCTAACCATGGGTTCATGGCACCATCGCCAATATTCGAGAATCGAACGATACTTCCCGCGGGAAACCTTGAGCAACGTGCTTTCGGCCGCTCAAGCCCCCCACAAATGACAGAATATGCTACCAACTGCATGGCAGGAAACATCTGACAAGCACAATTGAAAATTCAAACTTCGACGGCAACTGCAATACCTCTATGCACTCAAGCAAACATCATGGATATTTCCAGAATTTACTACTGCAGAATCAGTGGTGGCGGCAATACTGCAAGACCAGCCCCCGAAGAATTTGATGTTGCATCAAGCCGATCTTCTCCCATTGGAAGCAATCTAGGTACCACCCAGTGACTTTCCAACTACATAGCCCGAAGCCAAAAGGCCCCTGCTCAGATACAACCAGAGACAAAACCTCAGGGTCGCCACAGAAGGAGGAGGGGATCGAGGAGTAAGGGATCTAACCGCCAAGTTCTACTCAAGAAAACTTCATGGCTTCGGAAAGTTTTTTCAAACGTCGTCTACGGCGTTGTGGTGGCGTTGCTGCGCCCAACTCATTCAATAAAAGAAGGATCTGAGCCATACGGTGAGAAAAGAGAGGGGTAGAGTGGTTGACTCTAAATAGTGAAGAATTGAGTTTTCTCGTTGCTGGTGTTTACGGGGGAAGATAGTGTTAGCGAGGGGAGTTATCGCTCTGGATCGAGGGCCGATGCTCACGGGTCGGAACGCCGGGTCTCTTGTTTGCGTGGTAGAATGTGCTAGAGGGTATCAGGTGAGAGTCCCAGACAGCTCTATCCGTGTTACCGACGAGTCCGGGGGCGCTGGTTAGAGGCATGCAAAAGGTCATTTATCACGGATGTCCCGGCGCAAGATGCAGGGTTGATATGGTAGTCAGCCGTGTGGGCAGAATTTAGGCAGGAGTTTTCTAGTATTGTGTGTTATAGATATGGGGGAAAAGCAAAGTCAGTTGTGCTTTTGCTGCCACCCAGGTATTCGGAGATTAGTTGAACGTCTGTTGCCGGTTGTGGCTGATCGTAGTACACCATAGAGCTCAGGAAGAAGCTGAAGCTTGAGATCCGGGGAAGAGGAGAAGGGCGGGCCGGAGATAGGCTAGTCATGAAGGAATGAGAAACGAGACTAATGCTCGTTATCATTCAACTATGCTGCCAGTCTAGGCCACGTAAGGTCAATGCATGAGCGTTGGGGACTGTGCTGAGTCGAATAGCATAAGCGCGGGTTATTTCACCCCCGGATTGGCCTCGGGTTACTGGTATGTCAGCACGAGAACGAGCGCCAACGTGAAGTGTGAAATGTTGAAGTGGCAGATAGCAGGGGCCCTCTGCACCCCGCAATCCCCAAGGCCGGAGTGTGCATGCATTTCGACTTGTCTCCGCGGGGAAGTGAACTGATAGTTACAGTTGCTATGTTTGATAGCAAAGCCTAGAGGTGTCCACAATTAGATAGTTCCACATAGGATGATAGACCGACAGGATCCTTGGTAATCCTATTGTGGAGACAGAGTATGGAGCACTGCCCCCAACTCTATGCCTCTCCAGCAATCCTCCAGAATCTCCACTTGAAGATAGCTAATCCACCGTGCTCGCGTACCTGTTCGGGTAGCAGATCAGGGCCATGACTGGCTCATAGATGGCTTGGCTGCGACAGAGAGCTCCGTAGCTATGACCTTCCCCCTCACTAAGGTATATCCATGTACTAGTCATCCATGCAAATGAACATGCGCAGACGGGAGATTGACACAGACTCACAGCAGCTAAAGTAGTTTGGCCTAATTTCGCAATAAAACAGAGTATCAAAAGCACGACCACAGATATCCTCCACCCGAATAGCCGAGTCGAATTGACGTATGCAGGACTAGTACTGGAGCGTATCTGACCTCGCGAATCAGTTTCTAGTTTTCATCTATCGCCAACTACCTTAGCGCCCCCAACAAAAGGGAACACAAAGCAACCGCATAGCCCTGCCTGTGTAGTACTGTACCTCTGTTCTAGTGTGCCGTGGCACCACCGCCACACGACCGCACGGCTAGGGCATGATTCGTTGTGAGTTGCTTATCAGAAGTACACGGACGAGAGCCTGCACGCAAAACTGTTTCTAACTGGACCTTAGTGGGACGATGGCGCGGCGGCGGCAAACGCCTCTTCCGCCACGGTGGTTTCGAGGCGTGGAACGATAACGAAGATATTATGTATGAATCATGATTGTGCAGGATGGCTTGGAGACCGGCATCACGCAATACATATTTGCCTCCTGACAGCTTGCAGGTCGTATCCGGAGGAGTTGTTACTCCGGGGGAACTTTACCATCTATTTCCTCCGAAGAGCATGCTCGATGATCACCAATGCTTCCTGTACGATGCTTTTTTTTTCAATGAGGATCGTTATTACTGAACTAGGTAAAGAACACCCGTGCTCTTCTGAAGAATTCAACATCTAGCGCCGCGCGCAAGCTACGATCGCTTTAGTCTGAGCGGGAGCTACTTTGGTTCCGCCTTCAGGGTCCGAGGGTTTAGATACATTCTCAAACTTCTAAATTATACGAAGGGGGTGAAACCTTAGTTGAGTATGTATCTCGAACCCAATGACTATACTCCGTATACTAGAGTACGCGCCATGGGCATCGCAACGTCCTCGGTCGCGAAAAATCACCATCATTGGTGATTGACGCCCGACATCGGTAGAAGTACCGTGGGGGTCAACAGCTAACTACTGCATGTACAATCCAAGTGGAACACACTCTAAGTGCTCTAACTATACATAGTGTCCCCACTCATATGGGGGTACACCTGCAAAAAAGGAAGACAGTCCTCCGTAACTCCATCAAAGCACAGAAAATTTTGAAACCCCTGGGATGGAAAATAAAACCCCAAACATCCCAAAGATTGCCCCAGCCCCATCCAGATGATGCCATGCATTGACCTCCCTCGCATGCAGCGCAAATTGTCAGTTCGCCGCACTAACGCGCCGCCTTATGTACGGATTGCAGGACCAGCAAGCGACCGGGGGATGCTATTCGTAGCGCTCATAGACATGCCCGCCCCACATTATTCGGCCCCCGCCAACCGTCGCAGTAGTCGCGAGAGGGTCCGGGATTTCGGTGCACTGACTCGGTGACTACCGCGCGATAAGGTCTAGGCTCGTCGGCGACTAGGTTATTTTGGCGGGGCCCTGCGGGGCTATTGGCGGGCGCCGGTGAGTGGGTTCAAGTTGTCTTGCGTACATACTATGCATAAGCGTGGTGGGAATCGAAGTTTATGTTTCTCATACCCTCCCTAGTGTTTCTATTTTATCACTGCATCACTATAGGTCACCCAGATTACTCGTTATACCTCGTACCCCGTAAGCGGAGAACACTAGTGGATGTTGTACATGTACGGGGGGTACGAGACTATGGGGTACAGTTCTGACTTTGGGTTTGCATTGACATTTTTGCCCTTGTTAGTATTCAAGTTGGTGGTACATATCTCGAGCACGGACTGGCGTCGTGGTCCCTGATCGCCTGAGCGCGACGCGTCGCTATAGTGGAAGTCGCTATAGTGGAAGGGAACTATACCCGGACTGAGGCACCGAGTACACAGCACACAAATCTTTCTGGCCCCATGTATCAGGTACTCTACCCTTGCAAGTTATCATCAGCAATCACCCTGGAGACAACGTGTCAGTAATCCCTGCAGGATCAGATAGGAAGGTCATGTGCCCCCGCGCAAGGCAACTACAATGTCCAGGGCTTGCTTGCGTGCTGCGAGATACTGCATAGTGAGTAAGACAAGCGCTTGGGTACGAGGTATGAGGACCCTGGAGCTTTCAGGCTTATTCT